TGATCTGCCCCCTAGTGGATTCACGTTTAATCCTCCAGGTACACGCAAAGTACACAGGCAAGTATGTGAGCAACTCCGTTTGTGTAGCCGACGCCCGTCTACGCCTACGATGCATTGTTAAAAAGCAAGTATACTGAGGGCTTTACGTGGAGATTGTGCTTGTCAAAATTATGTCTTAGGTTTGACTGTCGCCTACGAGTGACCCCTGGTGAAACAGAGTTGGAGGGAGGAGGTTGTTCTGTTGGAGTAATGTTTGGAAATAAAGTCTTGAAGAAGAAATGAAAAATCAGTTTAGTTGCTGTTACAACACACAACGGCTTATTTCAGCTGATGTGAAAAAAGATGTGAACACCGGTGTGTCCTTCACAGTAAATGTCTCAATCATTCCACTGAGAAAATGACACTGATTACAGCTCCGTTCCTCATGTGAAGGAAATTGTTCTCTAAAAATGTAATTTCTTAACTGTGATTGAAAAGATTTTCAGATGTGTGTTCAAGCTAAAATGTTCTTGTTGGGGTGTGTGGGTGGGGTGGGGAGTGGGTTGGGGAACTGAAGGAGCCGTGGGTATTCAGAAGAACACAAACATGTTAAAAAACCCCTTGCTTTGTATGCTACTCAACATCTATTGTACAATATGTGCCACTTCATGTACATGCATGCTTAATTTACAAATCGAATGCTAATTATTCATCAAGTTCAGGTTAAGGGTCATTTTAATAGATTACACAACAACTGAAAGAGGGAGGGGAAGGGCAAATTACATCTGAGTATGGGGTGATCTAAGCCGACACAATGTTCTTTACATCAATGGTGCTACATGCACAAATTAATCTATTATTTGCTGAACACATACGCAGCTTACTTCTTTTGAAATAATATATTTTGTTGTTTGTATACAAATACAAAACACTACTATTAAAGGTTGGATTTGGGCTATATATGGTTCAACAGTAAACCGTGAGAAAAGAGTCCATGGTAGCTTTTGTGGGGATTATTTTGAAAACAGATGTGTCTGGTTCTTTCTAAATTACCTCGAGCTCAGTGAGTAATAACACTTCCAACCTGGCTGGCTGTCTATTTAGTTGACAAAGCAGCCGAACATCCTCCTCAAGAGATGCGACACCTCGTCAGTCAGCTGCCACACTTTTCCAATTTTATACTTTCCAAAGTAAGTAAGTAAAGTCGATACTGTAATAAAAGCTTTGGAAAAAGTAAATGACTCATTCATGCCCATGTGCACCTTAAGGCACCAAGTTATGTTTTGTACATCGTTATGTTAATTAGAACTTTTCAAGGGGAACCTCTTTTTAAACGCTCCACTCATTTTGCAGTTTGCTGAATCATCTGACGATGTGAACAAATGCAGCTCTGCATATTTGTTTTGCTCTTACCCCATAATTTAAAAGCTCCACCACATCATCTAAGCGATTCATTTAATGATTTAGTGCATTTTTTTAAAGTTGCATTTTAAACACAAGATGGCACTTACCAAATACAGTGCGAGCAGGAACCGATTCTCTGTTTAGCCAGAAGGAGACTTGAGACAGTATGACAGTCATGATGCAGGGGAGGTAGGTTTGAATCACAAAATAGCCAATTTTCCTTTTCAAATGGAAATATGTTGTCATCACTACATATTCTCCTGAGGGAGAGGAGAGAAACATAGAAAGAGATGGGGGGAGAGACACAGGGTCATAAGCATTAATACAGCTATGCCCAGTTGGGAACAACATAAGCTGAAATATTCAAAGTAGATTTATTAAAGTTAAAACATTAACATGAATGCTTGCATTCATCAAAGTAACTTGTAAGATTGTTTTCAGTCCCTTAGATGAGCCATTAAACCATATAAAAACATAGAAAAAAGTCATGTAACTAGCCTAAACTTCACTTTAGTTTAAACTAGAATCAGGCGACATGCCTTTTATTGTATTTATTTTCACTAGAATTTTTTTGGTGCAGATTTGAGGGAACAATTGTCTTTTCTGTGAAAAGAGTCCAAGGTCATGTTAAAGCAGCACCTGGCTATTCCTCAAATACTAGAACACTGAGGACAATTACTTATCCAAGGAAACCTTGAGTTGAGGTACAAATGTTAATAAAAAGATGCTGCAGTTCTGGAATAGTTGTAAATAATATTGTTGCCCAATGTCACACTCTTCACTGTCTCTGAAAATCATTATGGTCAGAGAAATAAAATGGTGAGGTAAACACTGAAAACTGTCCTTGTCACCTGATTTCTTTCATTACTGTATTGCTCCGAAAAAAAGACACACTGCACCAAAAGCCTAGGTTGGAATCGTCAAAGTTTGTTGCTTGATGATTTGTGGTCTAACAGCAACTGCTGTCCTCCACAAACGGAGCAGTTTGTAGGTCAGAACATTTTCCGAGCAACCTTTCAAGCTAATGCTGAGCCTTTTGATTCTCAAAATATCGATTTTTCAGTGTATTCCTTTAACTAGTAGTTACATTTTCCTTTGCTGAAGAGCCTCTCCCTGCATCGTTCTAACTCTTGATATTGAAAATTTCCTTCAGCTCAGATTTTGTCACTGACTACAGCAAAGTTCCCCTAAGCAGCAGCTCTCATTGCCATGTCTGTCGTCTGTGTTGCAAAGATATGAGAAAAACAGCCTTTCATTCCCTCAGGTGTTTTTTCTGAGCAGATTCTAACCAGAGCTGAACTGGCTCAAATCCTCCCATTCCCTCAGCTCACTGTGGACCATTACGCTTAAAGTTTAAAGAAATTAGATTTTTTTTCACAGCCACATGCTGAACCAGTTTGTGAAAGGAATCATGTTGACTTCACCTTGAATTTTGGTACTTGTAGCCAGGCTTTAGTTGGTGTTTGTTCCTTCAAAACACCTCTGCAATTCGCTTAAACCACTGAGCAGTACAACAATAAAGATGAACTCAAGGAAAGTGTCCTCAGTAGAGTTACACAAGAGCTTTTATTTCAGCAGCTTTCAACACACTTTTTGCTGCCTAGGAAAACAGCCTGAGTATCATCCAACAAAGCGGTTTCATGGCGGTTTAGTCTCCAAACACAAGTGAAATCTGATAGATCTCTGTGATTCAGTAGCTCACCGAGCTAACAGCTTAACCGCAGAGTTAAAATATCTCAAAACGGAAAGCCAGTGTTGCTCAGTTGTTAGCTAAGCACTCTTTCAGTAATTACCAAGTGCCCCACTGAAGCAACCTTTTATCTATAGCTTTGCAGTAATCAGCACTTTATCCAGTCTTATTGTACTGTTACCTATAGCTGGTGATTGATGTTGAAAGTGCTTGATGTTATTTGCCTGATAAAGCTCTGTGAAAACTATGTGGCAAATTTCTTATAAATAATAACTACTAATACACATAATAAAAACAGTACCAGCAGCCCTCATCTTGTTATTTCATCCCTTTATGTTAAAGCACTAACATACGTTTTAAGTCCCCAAGTGGGGAAATAAAGAGGAGTTGATTTGATTGTGTGTCACTGATAAAAAGGTTTCTGCAACAGTTTTAACAATGAGAATTTAAGATAAAATTAATATTTAATCAAGTATGGTCTGGCAGATTTTACTTTAATTGTGTGCTTATTAAAGTTGACTCTAGGCTAAATCCCAAAACGGAATGGAAAATATTTTCACCTCTGGCACACCTCTTCATATTATCTTTGTAAATATGCTGAATAGTTTATGGAAAACTGATAAGTCATCATTTTCCCGATGGACCCAAATAATGCAAGCTAAATCCAAAAATGACAAACTCGAAAAGTGCAGACTGTTACTTTGTCAAAACACAAAAGAGTGCCAGTGCATGTCAACAGAAAAGAACGAAGGCAATTTAATTTACTACAAATCTTATGCAGAAAAATGATAGTTTATGTTTCATAGGTAGGAGTTTCATACCATTACACACTCATTTTCTTCACTGCTTGAGGTATCTAATAGAAGTTGGTGTGTCTGCAAAAACTGCTCTGAATTTTTGATTGGCTGACCTGCCTGTGCACATTGCATGTATACAAACTTAATGTGTGTATTACTTGGTTTAACACCTAGCCTTGCATATTTGGATGGCATATAGTGTACCTGTGCTGGAACTGATGGTTTCTTTGCCAATAACGTGTCCCAGTAAGTCATACTGGTTCAGCCTGGAGCCATCCTCTGCAACAGCAACGGATCTCTCGTCTCCCTGGGTCCACAGGTAGATCACCTCGTTATTGGTGTAAGCATCTGGGCAACAGAGAGAGGGCAAAGAATCAGTACAAAATCACTTTACATCATTTACAAAATCAACATGAGGCATCTTTTAAAAAGTATTTTTCTCTTATCTGTCTCATGCTGTAGAACAGATGATCAACATCTGATATGGCAAAAAAGGTGCTGCAGCAAAGTTTACTATGAGCTGAGCACTTTGTTGTTTTCAATACAGTAGTGAGGGAGTGATTTTTAGTTATATACTATCAATCCAGTATTGATCTGGCTGTTTTTGGAGGCAGATATTCATATCAGTATTTAAGAGTTTAAAAAATATGATAAGTGATATTCTTTTGTCCATCATCAGTTCAATTAAAAAATATTTTCTTTATTCATCCAATTGTCATGGTTTTGGGTTTTAGTTTTATATTTCCTGTTTTATGTTGAAAGTTCTTCCTCATGTGTCTTGTGTAACTTTACTTCCTGCCTTTTTATTTTTTTGTATGGTCTGCCCTGATTTATTTCACCTGTGCTTCATTTTCCTTCCTATCCCCGTGTATTTAGTCTATGTGTTCCTTTGTGTCAGTGCTAGTTCGTCGTCTTCTCTATGCCAAGTTTACCTGCCGTTCTTTTAGTGTTTTGTTCTCTCTGTGTTTGGACTAATTTCTCTGGACTTTGTCTTTTGCCTGCTCCCTACTGGATTTGTTGTCAGCCTGCTTCTTCTGATTTGACCTGTGACTACTCTAAACAGTTTGAACCCTTTTGATTTTGACATTAAATATAATTGAACTGCACCTGCTCTTCCCTGGTGTCTGTATTTGGGTCCAATCCCTTGTGTTCCTCATCCCTGCTTTGTACACCTGTGAAACCAATACTTTGGTTTATGACCACATAGCTGCAAAACTAATGACCAGCCTCAGTGTTAGCATGCTAACACACTACACTAAGACGGTGAGCATGGTAAACATTACCTGCTAAATGTCATTGTGGGCACGTTAGCATGTTGACGTTAGCATTCAGCTAATAGCACCCCTGAAACTAAAAACAATTTAGATGTGCAATGAGCAAGAGATGTCTTGATTTATAGTTTTGAAAAATCAACTTCACAGTGGTCTCTAGTGGTTAAACTATTCACAGTAGTGGGACACAGTTTCTAAATTCCCTAAACATATTTTTAACATGTTTTTGTTTCTTAACAGCTGACATACTGATGCTATCTACAATAAGCTAGTATGGGCCTTGGCGATTTATCTGTCTAGCTCTAAAGAGCAGAGTGATGGTCATCCTTTTAATCATGTTTGGTCAACATGCTTGAAACACATTGGTTTATAATAAGTAGCATGAACATATTTTCTAACATTGACCTTTTTGGCTCAACTTTATCAAGACAACGTTCACTTCAAGCCGGTGGGGAAATACTTTGTAGTTAAAGAAACACTTCATATAAAAGTTATCCCCTAGTGTCACGTTCTAGTGGTGAGTGCTGTTTCAGTCCTCTGAAGTTTTTTCAGGACAGGAAAAGCACCTAACACCTGCAGAGAACAATCACCACTGTTCTGCAGTGCGGTTTTATATTAAACGTTTCTTTGTTGTGACCATCTGGACTGACTTACAACTTCCAAATTTCAGAGGACAGGCGTGTGCATCCATCGGGAAATCCTC